ATCTGCAAAGCAAAGGTTTTTCATAGAACTGTCATTTAAGTACAGTGAAAATTATGTACTTAGTTTTCAGATGTCCAGAACTGTTTACCCATACGGGACAACGATGAGCAGAAAAGTCAAAATAACTAAGAAGGAAGATTAGGTAAGGTTGATGGGGAAAAGTACAGTCAAGCCTATTGGCTTGATGACCTAATTTTATCTGACTTAGCTCAGTGCATACTAATTCAGAAGATCAGGTTTCTCCTTTATACATGTGCTGTGCCAATCGCAAAGAGACCATCTAGGATACATTTTCAGCAATAAGGCAGAGTCTGTATCTGAAGTGAGTTTTTTTTTTAAAGACTATGGAAAAAAAAAAAAAAGACTATGAAAAATAAAAAGCCTGTTAACCAAAATAGGTTCAGCTGGTTCAGTTCTCCTTGCTTTTCAACAATCTAGCTTAGGAAAAGCGAATAATGTTTATTTTTCATCTCTCTTAGTTGGTCGGCCAAGAGAACTTGAGAACCTACCAGTTTTATCAACACTTGCGAAAAAGAACCACCTGAAGTAAAATGGAGGTTAGCTGTGTGCTTGACCTGTGCTGTCCGTTATCTACTCTTCCTAGATAACTGAACAGAAACCAACCTGGATGGAAGAGCCAGTTCCCTCACCCCTCCCACTACGATGTCACCGTTACACTTCCTCTAGCCTGAGGACTAAAAGGGGAACAGCAGTAATAGATTACACATTTCTCTACTTAAGGACAAAAATACTGCCTAATTTGAGTTTTAAATATTGCTCAAAAAATGTCTTTACAATCTGATGCAAAATTTGTTTTCAAAATGAGTGACAGGGTAAAGTTGATATTAAAATATTTAAAGGAGCTTAAAAATAAATCCAGTTACTGTGCTGAGAAATTACAGTGGTTTCACACAATAGGATGTCTGTGTTCAACTTACAAGACTGATAATATGTCATACTGTAGCATGTTAAGGAGTTGATACCCACCCATCCATCCGTCAAACCACTGATCACATCTTAGCAGATGTCTATCCTTGCAGATTATAGTGTAATATGGAGGGGACGCCTCTCGACTCATATTTTAACTATTTAATGGCTCAGATGAACTTGATTTTTTTGCATTTAATAACAGTGTCTAAGTAAAGGAAGCCTCTCACCAGTATTATCCAATTGGACTAAATGACCTCTTTCCAAGAATCAAATGATTCAAGAAGCAGGCACTGTTGCTTCATCATTTCACCTTTCAACCAAAGCATATGTTTATCATTCTTAAATAAAGGGGGGAACTCTCAAGGATTTTTACCAAATACGACTCATGCAACCAGTATCCATCTGCTATGGGGCTGAAAAATGATGGAAGCAAAAACTATTGACAAGAAATGAAAAGGTAGCAAATTGCATGTTCATGCTTTAAAATAGAAATGAATTTGGAAATGGCACCTTGACTACAAAAATTGCCCCTAAGAGGTGACTGCTAACAGAATAACCTAGCCCTGAATCCAGCCCATCACAAATGAGTCAGCATGAGAAATCACTGACTCAACAGCCAGAAGTGTGTGTTTGCATGTGGGTGTACTTTTAAACAGTTTTCAGCAATTTTTTTTTTCCTCTTTTGGCAAACAGAGTGGAGAAAGCCACCTGGATGAGAACCATTGTTAACAACGCTCCTGTTGTCTGGGACAGGATATGTCCTTGGGGGTTTGTTTCCATGGTCCAGGACACAAAAACTCTGGACAAGTGGTAAATAAGAGCTTCACAATAAATAAAAAGGCAAGGATGGGCCAGAAAGTTATTTTAACGTACCTTTAAATATAAATTGAGTCCCAGAGGCAGAAAAATCACCTACCCAACACTGGCACATTTTAAACATGATTAAGACTTGCAGGTCAAAATCCCAGTGACAGCACTGGGATTTGTTGCTGTATTTGAGATGAGGAGAGCATCTTAAACACAATTCTGTGGCTTAAATGTCACTTAACTTTCCCCTTGAGCGTAAAATTGGCATAATTTTGATACCAAAACTAAGTCTGAATAATCAATACATAAAAACAAACTGGCTAAGTAGAAAAAAAAAATTTTTCCCCCCAAAACAGAATCCCAAATCCCAAAAACTTATATATAGAATGCAGGTAACAGAAAGAGTCAAATAAAACAACAATGGTTCCTGAATTTAAAGGAAGGATGCCCACTTCTCTCTCAAGAGGCAGACGGTCAGCTGAAAAATAAAAATATTGGATCAATAGAACACTCCAAATTTAAAACTTGCAGCCATCTTTGTTCATGCAATATCAAATGTTTAGAAAAATACCCCAAACTTCAAAACAACCCATCAAGCTACCAAGAGGAAGGAAAATTGTTGCCCCAATCTTATGACCTGATGGATGGTTGAGGGTCCTGATGCGACTGTTCAGAAGGTCGCTCATGGGACAGAGGTCTGGAGTTTACATGAGATCAAGTTTGTGGACCCTCAGACTAGGGTCCAGGCTGTCTTCAGTCAGTGAGTTCTTGGGTCAGCAGCTTCAAAAACATGACAGCTAAGCAAGATCCCAACACATGGCTACTTTGGGTTTTGGCCCGAGTTCTCAGTTTCACTCAATTTCCTTTTAAGGAGTATTATTATTACTGTTTTTGGTGATGATTAAGTCATTTTAGTAACCACTATGGGCAGTGGTCTGTAAACAGACATTGACAAATACAAACAGCAGTGCAATATTTGACCCAGACTTTAAAAGAACAGGAGGCGATGGTGGAAATGAGGTAACTCTTCCCCAACACGTGTGAACAGACAGCTCCTGCTCTTCTAATGCTCTATGTCCATTAGGAGAGAGTAGGGCTTGTCAACAGGATGGTTACATAAAGAAGAAGCTACAGAAGAGAAAAAAGAAAGGTTCAGATTCAAAGTTGATTCTTAAAAGGCTTTTTCTTTTAAAAAAAAAAAAGGAGCTTCTCTACAACAGACTGAAAGAACAGTGAAGTGTCAGTAAAGGGATGATCAGTTGAGGTGGGGAACAGCAGCAGCAGAACTGGCACCAGAGGCCGAGGAAGCGGAGGCTGCCTCGGCCGGGGCAGTGGGGTGCTAATCGGGGTAGAAGGGGATGGGGATGGGGGACACAGGGTGGCAGAGACGGTGTATGAAGTACAGAACACCACGTGGCAAGCATCTTGGAGGAGCTGGTGCTGCCCAGATGGTAGCATTTGAAGTCCAGACAAAGCAGGAAAGCATGAGGCTCTTTCATCCCTATTTCTTTTATCCAGTATTATAAACATGTGTACATTTGTATATCAAACAGTGACTAAAAAGAATTCACAAAAGGGCACACAGTGTTTGGGTAAAAATATATTTTCCCCCACTTTATGTTCTTGGCACTAGTGATATATGCATAGATTACCTGTCCACCACGCTCCTACCTCCACAGACACCAAATGACTGAGCAAGTTTGCTACGGGATTACTTTCATACTTGAAAAAAATGATATGCTTCACACCAATACAATTGTTTTAGTTTTTTAAAAAAGACAAGTGTCTAACATGCAGTTTACATATATGACAATTCTGCATTAACACGGAAAGGAGATTACACACAGTTTTAAAAACACATTGGTTATTTTCCAACAGCAAAATGACAATGATCTACAACTACAGTTTAAGGCATATCAGCATATTTTAAAATTAAGGAATAGACAAAGTTCTAATGCTGTTCACAGCTTAATCTTCCATTTATTTTAAAAATTCCCTTCATACCTACATACAATCTAGACTTTGTACGTCATCATTTCCCCCTAAAGAGTCGGCACATGTGTATCCTGTCAATGGAACCAAGACTTCCGGAAGTTGAGACTTGACAACTTCAGACACTTGCGAATGGCAAAGCAAATGATCTCAATGCACAGTTTTGGTAGAACCACACAGAGACGGTATGACATGAGTCGGTAACAGCTGGAAACCTGATTCAACAGTCTGTATTATGAAACACTGATGGATATGTCAAGAAAGTGAGGAAACCAAGTCTATTTGTTTGAGGTGCACAAGATATGAGGTGTTATTGCTGGTGAGATCACAAAGCAGGGAAGGAAGATGAGTAACCTGTGCCCGGCGTGATGTTTAATGTTCCCTGGTTGAGGCGTCCTTTCTGGACAAAACCTTCACCAATTAATAAAGAGCCTAAGCTGGGAAAAGGTAGTCTCTCAACTGCCCATGAATTCTCATAAGTGCTTTTCCATCACATCCTTCTTAAAACTGTTAGAGGTATCTAAAGTCCAGAAGAAGCAAAAGCATGGTCATAATGGTTGAATGAAAGATCTGGGGAAGGGACAGCAAGAGCTGTCTTGGCAAAAAAAAAAGAGGTGATCCCTGGTAGTAGTTAGCACAAGGGAAAGATCATTAAACCAGGATCACCAAAAAACTAAGCCGTCATAAAGGCAGTGTAACATGGAGAAGAACTTTCTCTTGTTTTTCTCTAGTGGAAGGTAGTAGTTTCTCATTGTAGCTTTACTTACACAGTCAGAACCAAGGACCCTCTGGGACTTCCCTGGGGGTCCAGTGGTTAAAACGTCATGCTCTCACTGCTGAGGACTCAGGTTCAATCCCTGGTCAGGGAACTGAAGTCCTGCAGATCACATGGCACAACCAAAAACAACAACAAAAAAGAACCAAGGACCTTCTATGATATCCAGTGAACCCACAATGCTATGCAGAACACAGACTAGGATTAGTAATTTCTGACTTCCACACTGTCACCAGGGAGAAGTCAAATCTCTGTGTTTCTTGTGAAAAAGAGATAAATGTGAGCCATTGAAAATAGTTTTCTTTCTTTAAAAAAAAAGAAAACAAAGGCTACTCAAACCAATACCTCCCTACCCCCATCCAGGAAAAAAAAAAAAAGAATTCCACCTATCCCATTTGTTTCTCTAATTAAAAAGCCAAAGAGATCTCAAAGGTTTCTTACTACTGTACTTACATGCAGAGGCGAAAGCATATCCAATTAGATTTGAGGGCATCATTTACTCCGTGCAGAGCCAAGGGCTACTGTGAAAAAAGGCACAGATACAGGAAGGAGAGAGGGCAGCAATAACAAACCAAACAGGGCCAGGGAGCAGGGGCAGGAGAAAGTTCAGGAGCAACGCAGTTTAAAAAAAAAAAAAGAGCTTTTATAGGTTTCTTTTAACTTTTTATTCCCTGACTCTCCATGATTTGTTTTTCTGTGAAAAATTTAATGGGGTTAAAAAATCAATCAACAATCTTGGAATCAAAAAGTCAGCTGGATGCCTTTCATGGTTGGGCTCACTTTAAAAAGGCTTTAGCGATGCATGTAAAATGGTTATTTTCAAGGGACGCATTCTTAGGATTTAGAAGTGTATTTCCTGTTACAAGGCACAAAAATGCGCACACAAGCAATGGTTGGAACAAGCATACAGCACTAGTATTCAAGCTTCCGTCTGGGGCACAGCGTCTGAGCAAATTCAGCCCATGGTTAGAATCAGCATGCCACCTAACATTTGGCTGCGGCACAGCTAGCTTCAGACTAGAATCATTCAAAAACAAAAGCAAAAACATTGATCCAGGAGCTTCTAAAGCCTGTCTTTATACCTCTATTGCTGCTTCTGGTGGGCAGTTTCTATCCCAGCTTAGTTTGAGCATCCATGAAAACTTATTCCTTGCTTTGCCTAATTAAGCCTAAATCAGTTCATGGAAGCCCATTCCTTCTTTCCCATAAAAGTGTCATTGAGGATAAAGAGAAGGTTGAAAAATTTACTGGAATCAACTAGAGGCTGACTATTTAAAAAAAAAAAAAATTTTTTTTAAAGTGTGTGTGTGTGTTCTATTTACTTAATGTGTGACTTAACATATGACTTAATGAAGACCCTTCTCCAGGGGATCTTCCCGACCGAGGGATTGAACTTGGGTCTCCTGCATTACAGGTGGATCCTTTATCATCTGAGCCACTCGGGAAGCCCATCTAATGGATGACGAGGGAGGACCAAAAGGAAAACGCAGGGGTGAAGGGTCAGATTCATAAGAAATGTTATCCTTTCAAGTAAGAAGTTGGAGACTATGGAGTCAGAGAGAAGCTGGGAGTGTTTTGTTTTTATGGGGGGAGGGAGGTTAATTAAGAAACTTAAAGGATAAGCCTCAAGAAGGAAAAGTATAGAAAAGAAATTAGGTATGCTCCTTTCCACATAAATCTGGCCTATGTAGTCTATGTCCTGAAATGTGACTAATTCCTAATTCTTGTTGATGGGGCAATGGGTCTTAAATGAAGAGGGCAGTTGAGCGAGTCTTGGTGAGGCCATTCCTTCAAGACAACTGGATTTGAAAGACCAGATGTTCTATTCCTTCATCCCTCTTTTGGCCAAATATCAAAACATGCAAGGAAATTGGGAGGTGAAGTTGGATTTCTGCTTTCTTGACTCATGGGTTTGTGTTATGTCCCTTCCCATTTCTATCTTAAAATGACAAAGTCTCCTCAAACTTGTGCTGCAAGATGATATAGTTTATAACAAATGTTCTATTTTAAATATTTCTGGAAAATTTCTAGGGCTTCCCTGGTGGCTCAAATGGTAAATATTTCTGGAAAATTTCTCCCCAGAATTATTGAAAAATGTTATTTGAAGCACTGACATCCCGGAGTCAGTCATTAGGCCTTCGCCCTTAGCCTACTGAGAGCAGATTTAGGTGTGTTTATGAAAAGATGGGGTATTGTTAGTAGCAAACAGGTTGCAGAAAGCCCATTAATCTTAGTAGAAGACTCTTCTACTAAGAACGCTGTATGATCAGCCTTGGAGAGGGCTATCTGTGACAGGGCCAAGGCTGCCCTGACACAAGTAAATATAATCAGTTTTCTTATTACAGTCCAACTTGGCTAGAACTTAAGATAGGGGTTCAGACATGTTTTTAAACCCATAAGAGGAGACAAACCAGTCTGAACAGACCCACAATCCAGGCCAAATAATGTTATTATTATAATAAAAAAAAAAATCCATGCAAGGGTAAAAGTCAGGTAAAGTTTATCACCCACCGTTCTGCCTACATACAAAGCTACCTTGGTTTGGGGCAGGTGAGGAGAAGAATCAGAAGGGGTTCAGAGCCTTTCCATCATGGAGATGAATAATCAAGAAAAGCAAGTGGTCAGGGCTATTCAGGTTTACAGTTCAGCTGCTGAGGTGGTGAGAAGTTTCCTGTCAGACGTACATGGAGGAATTAAGCCTCCTTCCCTTGGTCCCAAGCAACACACGAGTCACAGGACAGGCATGCTTGCTGCCGCCACTCTGAACAGGCATAAACTGCAAGTGATTTGCGTTTCCAGAAACAAATTCCCACTGCACACAGCTTTTGCTGTGACTCCCTTGTTCTCTCATTTTCCACCGCCCAACAACATTCAGCAAAATGAGTTAATAGTTATGTGGTGTCTGGGGAAGGGGGAAATAAAAATGAAACAAAACAAAAGGACACAGATGGCAGAGACACAATATTGCTGCAAAAGCAGGTGAATGCGGACCGTCCTTGGCTTGCCAGGCTTTATGTGAAGCTTGCACTGCAAGTTAAAAACAAAACAAAAAAGTTAGAAATAATAATAAACCGAAGGAAGGAAAATTAGGAGCGCCAGCACCAGCATTCGGTGATGGTGAATGCTCATGCAATGATTATGGAATCGACAGAAATTAAAACCAAAAATTTGAGTAAGCTATATGCTACATGACAAGCAAAAGCAAAATTTTAATACTGAATTAAAGAACACATGGTTAGTTTCCATTTGCAGAATCACTCAGATTCACAAGTGACTTCTTGAAACCATGACATGTTCTACTGGAAGGATTTGCAGTTTGATTTTTCATTTTCTCAAATAACACAAAACCACGATCTATTAGAATTTGGGCATCACAGCAGTACTGAATAGGAGCTGAAAATTCCATTTCTGAGCTGCTAGAGTCAGAGAATAAATAAATATACAATAAATGTCTTTGAACAAATAATTTGGCACTTGGAATATAGTGGATGGAGGACATGCTATCGATCTACTTGGGAGGGGAAAAAAGAAAGGACAATCATTATATGGTTACAGCTACAGCAATGCCAGCAGCGTTCCCCCCCTTGGGTATAAAGCAACGCCAAGTTCAAGATCCACACGTCTAATTTTAGGCAAATCCAAAACATGCAACTTCATTCCTTAGCAAGAATCAAAATATGTTTTAAAAAAGAAAAAAAGTGAGTGGATGATTGTGTAAACTGTCATTATCAGATGCCAGGTACAGTTTTAAAATGAGATTTTAAAACTTTCTTTTTGGAATGGATGCATCTTTAAACCCCCAAAACTGTCGGCTGGCAAAGTTTTCAGAAAAGATGAATACTGTCTACGGAACAACTTACCCTCGGGCACTCCCACCACTGAGGTGTAGCCGCGAGCAGGGAAAGTGACTTGGTGGCCAGAGATGGCAGGAGGTGGGGTCCAGTTAATGGCAGTACCAGGGTTAGTTCTACCTTGTCTGTAATCTTAGGACATGTTATGTGATCTCATGCCACTACAGGTCAAGGAGGAAGGACAAAGCCTTACCTACGTTAAAGAGGGAGCGTGTCATTAGAATAGGAAAAAAAAAAGAATTTCAAACTATTAGAAAAACTTAGTTAAGCTCTGAGGTGGAAGCATAGCAGGCGAATAAACACGCATCTCTTTTTAAATTTTCTCCCTCAAACAGCTCCCATGAGGCATGTATGGCGACTCCAGCATCTCCGCCAGCTACACAAGGAGGAAAGAGCCTCCCATGTATTTTCAAAGTACTGTCCTCGTTACCCTGGTCACTGTCTGTCTGTGGTCCTCTCTAACCAACATTCCCACTGGCAGTAAGAGAATTGATTCCCCCCCCCCCCCTTTTACCCTTCCAGCCTCCAACTGGCAATTGCTTTCACTGTTCAAATGGGAAAGTGGGAAAAGCTTAAGCGCCTAGAAGAAGTTACCAAAAAGTTCATGCTGTTGTCAGGCACAAAACCTGGTGACTCTTGCGCACCGAATTAAGTCTAACTCCATTAATAATAACTGAGAATGTATAAATAAGGCTAAAATAGAATTCACACACACTTCACATAAACTTGAAAAGCATTATACATGACTAAGGCCCAAGGCTGGGAAGAAAATAACCTAAAACGTCCTAAAGGATAAGAAAAACCTCCTTACACGGAGAAGTCTGTTAATGGACTCCTCCATGTTAATGAACATGGAGGCACGATGCTGATCAGCTCTTGGAATATTTATTGCTTAAAGGCACATCCAGTATAAGTAAGATATCCTTGGAACGATGCTGGTCTTTTATAAACATTTTTAGTCCTAAAACGTGTACCTTTACGCACTTTGTGCTTCAGGGTAAGAAAACTTGACTTTGGGTTTGGGTTACCTAAACCAAGAGTCAGCAGCTTTTTTCTATTTCATTCATGCCTATAGATGTGTACACGTACACACACACACACACACACAGCCTATTTTTATCACACACACACACACACACACACACACACACACACACAGCCTATTTTTATCCTGGGTTGGTTTGGATCAACAAGGGTATGATGCCAAATGGCTTTCATTGCGTCTTCCCTGAAGGAATCACTAATCTCTGACTCTGCATGGGGATCATCACCATTGGTGACCAACACCACCCCCAACGTGTAGAGCTACTACAAAGCACGTTCTTCAACTGGATTATAATCTAGGCAGCTGTCAGGCTCAGAATTAATCCAGCATGACTCAATTTTCAGCCCCTGGAGTCCTTCCATCACTTGGGTCTGTACCAACCCCATTCAACGCCACAGCTCACCTGCACTACCTTCTATTGCTTAGAACATCTGCTTGCTCCCTGCTCCCTTCACACGCTTGCTGGCTCAGAGCATGGAAAGTCAAGTCTGCAGAGGAGAACTGCAAACTCTCTCTGCACGTCACTGGAGCAGAGCATGTTGGTTTCTACCACAGGCAACATAACAATATTCCTTGGGGGCGCAAGTCTGCACATCGACCGAGATGAAGTGAACACCTCACTACCGTGCTCACTGTCCACTGATCAGACTCGATGACCATGCAGGCTCCAGCCTGTCTACCATATTACGTCTAAGAACCTAATTTTCTGCCTGCTCCAGTGTTTTGAGTGTTTACCTAGTTGTCAGCCTCTCCCCTGGCACTTTAGCATCTGAGGGTGGAGAGCAGGAATCCTGAAACACGCTCTGAGTTGTCTCCTTGCTGCCCTCAGAGGGCCGAGTGTTAAACAAAGGAGGGTGGTACCCATGGGCTCCCTACCCAGCCGCCACTAAGGTTTTCTTCTAAAGTAACTTACTGACCACTGTGCTTACTGTCAGACTGACAATAACTGTCATAAAATGGCACCCTTGAGTCTTTCAGGTGATTTGCCATAATGCTTCAAAACACAGGAGAATTTCAAGGCAGGCCCAAATCTCCCACTGGCTTCAGGCCACTGCTGTTGGAATATCATAGGCACTGACAACTCAGGAGCAGAGTCTGACCCCTCGGCACATTAAATCATGGCTATATTAAAAAAATCTTTTCTTTGAGTGTGTGGATACAGGTATGTCTTGAGAGCTGGTGGAAGTGTCTTAATGGGATGGGCATTTTGATTTCATTTTCACAGTAAAACAATTTATCATCCTGTTCAGAGGAAAACTAGTGGCCACTGGCAGTTCTTCTGAATCTTTCATTTTGGGAACAAGACTGTCAATAACTGGCTTCTCAGGCCTTACAAGAGAGAATAGAAAAATAATTCTAACAATCATAATTTTAGGATGCTCTTTCATCAAGAGCCAGGAGGATTGTCTCCAGAGAGTAGTGAAGAGAAATACACTGTCTTCTCGAGAGTCCTAGTGTGGGTGCAGAAGATGCTACTGGAGACGACAGGTGACTCCAGTCCTGATTGCTTGATCGTGTGGTCAAGTTTTAGACATGAGCGTTTGTGTACCCTTTAGAAATACTTTAAAAACCTTTATCGTCTCCCCTGCATTGTAGAGAAAATACTTGCTTTTATCTTTCTGGTAACAGACCAGTTTCCAGTCTGTAAATGGGGAAAGTAGAGACATGCAAGAGAAATAAACTGTTAGAGAGCCCCGCTGCGTGGGGGTGACACCTGCTTACTTTTTCTTATCCTTGTCTTTCTTGGTTTGCTGGGCCCCAGACTGTTGGGCCTGGGACTGGAGCAACTGGGCGGCTGCCTTCTTCTTCTGGAAATTGTTCACCTCCTCCTCCAGCTCCTTCTTCTTGTCTTCCACTTTCTTCTTCTCTTCTTGGTGCGTCCGCTTGAGGAGGTCGAATTTCTCATGGAGCTGGAAAGGAGAGGAAGAGAACAAGCTTGAGGGAGGAGCTGGGATGCTTGCTGGTCTAAGGCTGCTTGCATCTATTCAGAAACACACACGTGATGCTGCCTGTGGTCCAGGTCCCAGAGGGTACCATCTAGGGCTAAGCCAGGCAGAGGTGTGAAGAGCATCCTGTGGAGCCCTGTGCTCTATTGAGACTTGGATCCTTTAGGACGAAGGGAAATCTCTGTGCAGTTTTTCAGATAATAAAATACATATTCATTGTAAAAAGCATAAGGAAGAAAATTAAAATCATCCATACTCCTAGTAAGAAACTCACCTGATGTTAAGAGTAGTTCATTACTTCTCATCCTTTTCAAAATAGGTAATATATATTTACTTAGAGACTGACATAATGACTACAGATAGATGTATACATACTATTCAAATAGGAAGAGCATGTGGAGAAATTTCTGAACCTTGACAAATTGAATTTAGAAAATTATCATGATGCAGAAACAAAAACAGGGGGAGACAGAAGCAGGGTTGGGGAAGCAGGAAGAGAAAGGGCAGGAGAGATGGAGGGAACTGTCCTTACTGAATGATTCTAGATTTTTTACCCAGCATTCACTTGATACTTAAAGCCAACAGCAAATAAGGCTCAACTTTCCTTTCTCTGCAGCAAAACTATGTTGAGTACTTAGCTACTTAAGTAAACTCTAGGTTTCTCATTATCTACCATCAAGGCAAACCTATTTCTTTCTCTCAGTGGGATAAGTGTTACTCAGAAATCCATGGGGCCCAATTCCAACTGATGTCCATGCAAACACTCTTATAAATTTTAATATACCTCAGTTTATCTTTTAACAGGAGAAAATGAGTAATATTCATTAAGCTATATCAGCTAAAGAACTGGATCATTTTAAAATCTGAAGAGAATTGATTCCTTCATTCTGAACTCTGTGAAAACTCTTACTGTAATGAAAATACTACTTAAGATGAAAACAAATTACCACTCATCACCATGTAGAATAATTTGTATGTCTGAAAATGTTCACTGTTATTTATTTTACAATATACTATGCACACATTTAGCAGTATATTTAGGGTATTATGTATAAGAAACAAATGTAAATAAAAAGGATACATTTACATTTACATTTAATTAAGTGATCTTAAAAGCTTCCACACTACATTAATCTAGTAGCAACTAAATTAAGTTCTTGGTTTAATTTAAATAATAGGGACATATATGGTTATATAATCAAATATATGTTTATCTGTGCAGTTTTAGGCAGATTTTGTGTGCTTAAACTATTTTAAAGTGGTAATGATTTAGTGTGTTTGCTTAATTATTAGAAAGAACTTCCATATCAAGAGTGATAGACAAAAAGCTCTAATCTGTGTTTTAAGAAACTTCTCAAAATAAAACTAATATAATCAATAAATACTGCTTAAAAAAATTTTTTAAAGAAATAAAAAAGAAATCTAGGAAACAGTTACCCTGGCCTGGGTGGAACTACAAGGGCTTTGGGATCAGGCCTAGAGATCTAAGATCTAGCTTTAGTCTTGGCTTTGCTACTAAGTAGGTAAGTGACTGAATAAACCCCTTAATCTTTAGGACACTCAGCGTTACCATCCTGTGAAACAGGAATGAGACTGGCTGTCCTACTCTTCATACCAAGCTGATAGGCCACCCCTCTGATACAATACATGTATCAAGTGCTTATTTCCTCTGTGTCTCCCCTGGACACAGGACAGACGGCTCACCTCTTTCTCCGCCTCTTTAAGTTCAGCTTCTTTCTCCTTCACCCTCATGACAAACATCTGTCTCATCTCTTCTTCTTTCTTCTGAAGTTCTCCCAGAAATTCATTCCTTTTTGCTTCATATGTCTCCTGAAGACTATTCAAAAGTCACAAACCAAGGACAGTGTTGTGAAGTTGCATGATAAGAAATTTCAGTTCAGACAATTTCTACCCAACTCCTTCCTCAAGACAGATAAGGCTGCCACTCACCAGGTTCAGGGACACATAAAATGGCACCATCTTTTTTTTAAATTATGTGAGGATCAGAAAGACAAGCATATAGGAACCAGAGATGTGGCCGTAAGCACAGTATAGCACTAACGTTGATGTTGTTTAGTCACTATCCTTTTGTGACCCCAGGGACTGTATGTAGCCCGCCAGGCTCCTCTCTCCATGGGATTTCCCAGGTAAGAATACTGGAGCGGGTTGCCATCTCCTTCTCCAGGGGATCTTCCCCACTCAGGGATCAAACCCGAGTCTCTTACATGGGAAGGCGGATTCTCTACCAGTGAGGCACCAGGGAAGCCCCTAGCACTAATGGGATGTCTCTTACTGACCAAGCTGTCTGCTGTGCATACTCACGGGGGCAGCCGGGGGGGGGCCAGTGCCTCCCAGATCAGTACCAGGCGGACACTGAAGACATGATCAGAATTTTAGAAGGTGGAGGGGCTGTGGGGAGAGACATGCATGGGCACTAGAGCCGACATCAGCCATCGGCTGATCTGGGGTTCACAGCAGTTTACTGACCGATCTGAGGAAGGGCACAGCCTCTCGACTCAATGTTCTCTACATAAATGTGGATACAATGCCTTCCGGGGATATGATTATGGGAGGTGAATGTGCGTAGACCAAGGAAAGCATCTGACATAACATTAGTGCTGGATAAATGTCATCTCTCCCACTCAGCTCCCTCCAACCCCCAGTTTAGAAAACAGACTCAGTGAACCATTTAAAGAGACAAGACTATGTTTAAAGATATTACAGAAAATTACTACTCTTCAAGTGATATTATGAATTGTAAATAGAGCAGGGAGGAGTTTTACTTTATTTTAAACCTCATCCACCTCCTGACTGTCTACAGAACTTAGGGCCCGATATTTTAAAGCAAATGCCATGGACTCAGTTTCACCTCCAAATCAGAACAAATATATTTACAGAAAAAGCACTGTTGGTGACACAACTTAGAAAAACAGACACCCACACAAACAGAGAAACATTTGTGGTAAATTATTATCTCTAGCTCTCCCTTGAACTATCCCTAGAACAAGAGTTGTTATAGTAACACAAGTCTGCAGAACTGTCCACCTTTACCCAGGGACCAATTTCATCCATAGAGCCGGTTCCAAAATGAAAAGCACCTGTGGATGACCCCAGGCTCCATGCAGAGCCACCCCAGCATTCACACTTGTCCATGTAGAAGGAGAAAAAGGACATACAGGTGAAGGATGGGAGGGGGAAACAGCATCATACTTACAAATGTCTTAATTAGGATTGTTTCTATTTCTATAATCAGTGCTTTTACGGGCTGCTGAAAAATAAGTTCTCCTGCCTTCAAGACTATCAACACTACCCAGTAAAGGACAATTACCAGTTTCAAGTTTCTGGAGATATATTTGGCTTTCACATTATCTTAGAACAAAAAAGTAAGCGTAGCCAACATTAACAGCAATATTTGAACTTGACATTTAAGCTATACAGCCACAGATAAGAGAAATGAATGGATGATAAAGGTACAAAATAATTTTAAAATCTGATTTTCTTTGCTAGCTTCCAATAAACTCAACACCATTACTTGGGGTAAGAATCGCCAAAGGCAGAGGATGACTTGTCCCTGCTATTAAATTTTGGGAGGGAACCCAGTTTTTGTTGATTTTAAGATAATGAATACGTCTCCCTTTTCTAACAAGCAGTGGAACACCCACTGGGTTCGCCAAAGTTTCATTTGGGTTTTTCTATTAAGATGTTACGAAAAAATCCAGATGAACTTGTTGGCCAAGCCAATATTACAGAAACACTACCAAGAAACATGACCCAAAATGTGTTCCAGAGACCACTAATTTCAAGAAATCTTCAAAAGAAGGGATCCCAGGTTGAAAGAACAAAAGGAAGGTGCAGTGTGTGACCCTGACCTCTCTTTAGGAGAGCCCCAGAGTGCAGGGGCTCCCAAGCCCTGCAGCACGTCAGCATTGCCTGGGCAGGTTTTATTGGACTTTTCTAAACTCCACTCCTGGAGATGCTGGCTCAGGATGTCCAATGAAGGCAAAGCGATCTCTGTACTTCTTAAATGGTTCCAGGTGACTGAACAGTAACTAGTCTGCCAACCACAGCTTGTCTTAAATGCTCTGAAAAGGCCTTTAGTTTAAAAACAAAACAAAAACCTGTTTAAGCTGATTAACCTTAGAGCCCCCCAAATCTGTTTAATCATGGAAAGTTCTGTTAAGTGACCCACAAGGAGAATCTCCTTTGGGTAACACTACTCGGAATTCTGAGAACTCTCAGAATGACTCTGCCTTCGCCAGTCCCAGACACAGCCTATCCTGGGCTCCCATTTCAGGAGATCCATTTTCAAACTGAGTCATGACCCAGTCAAGAGTCTTAACCCATCTGTTAAAAGAAAAGGTTTAGAGACTAGGACAGAAAAAAACAGAATGCAGCGCAAACATGAAGAGTAGATATTGTTTCCTGAAATGTGTATATTGAATCATGACGCAGAACATATTTCATAGTGAAGTTTGCAGCCCCAAGTTGGAAAGTATCCCAGAGAAAGGATAGAATGATGCTACTACAGCCAGACGATCTGAACACCGGCTGCTTATGAGATGGCTGCATCCGGGGATGGGAAGTGGCTCTGGAGCTCTGACACTGGAAATGACAAGCAACATGTTGAAAGAGAAACCCCACTCCAAGGAGTCCAATGCAGTAAATTTCTTAAGACATGCATCCACAGATGACACTCCCCAGGCACCTGCGGAAATCCATGTGTGACTGAGAGACACTGGACACCCTCCCCAATGCCTCCAGCCAGTGACCCCCAGTCTAGAAGGAACTGGCCCTATAGTATCCACTCAGATACCTACGGGGATGACTTTTGCAATTTTTAGCTCTTCTAACTTCCTTTGTAATTGTACTTACTAATACCCTTTTTTCCAAGGGGAGAAGTGAACAATATTTTCATGAGGCTTTAAGCCAGCTTGAAACACAGGCTTTTCTCATTTTCTCTCAGCAGCTCTGGGTAGAAGATGGCTCTGCCCACAGAGGTCAAGGCAGAGGAGAACAAGCACTGACACTCCAGCCCATCCTTCACTCAGGAAAGTCACGCAGCACGGCTCTCGCCTGCCACGCCTCGTGGACCAGCAGGGGAGGGCAGGCTGGAGGCCCACACGTCACCGGGGTTAGTGGAGGAAATTACACACGAAAATGTGTCATCCTAACCACACAGTGAAGCAGGTATTATTATCACCACCCATTTCACAGACGGAGAAACTCAGACACAGAGGAGCTTAGTAATCTGTGCACGTCACACAACGAAGAAATGACAGAGCTGGGGCGTGCATCTCGGCCACCTCGCTCGGGTGGGAGGTCACCCCCCATGGCCGGAGAAGCAAGGCCTTGATGCTCCTAAAAACAAGTCAGTCTCCGGGGACTGAAAACCATGTGACCTCGAGAGAAGGGCAGTAAAGAGCACTATATATGACCTGACAGGTAGAGGGAAGGAGAAGGTGGCGTTTGGAGGTGTGCAAGGAGTGCTGGGAAGAGGGCAGAGGCATCCCAGGAGACGAGCAGCAGGGACAGGACCCATCCCCTCTTCTGTGCAACATCCCAGGCCCACTTCCTCCCCAAATGCCAGCCAGAAAGGGGCCCGGGTATGGGGGACCCAAATCCTGGGAAGGCACGGGTGCTCTGGCTGGAGTAAAGCATGTGCTCCAAGGCTGCAGGGCAGCGGTGGAAAAGACGCACACCAGAACAAGCAGGAAGGGACCTCCCTGGCAGTCTCCAAGCTCCCAATGCAGGGGGCCCAGGTTTGATCCCTGGTCAGGGAACTAGATCCTACATGCTGCAACCAAAATAAACATTTTTTTTAAAAAAAGAAAAAGCAGGTTGACACCTGGAGATGTGTATGCATAGTGATAGAATGATTCTGCCACAAGACAAAAGACGCACAACTCTGAATGCGGGCAGGTTGAAGGACAGTACCAGGCAGAGACTTGGCTTTTGTGCCTGGGACTCACTTCCAAGGCTCAGATGTGGCCTGGCCCTGCGCTAGCCCGGCTCCTGGTTTGGTGTAATACTCAGGGGAGCTGCCACTCATGAGCCTCAGCTTTACAAACCTCTGTTTTATGAACACGTGGTACAAACACACGGGGCGCGCAGAGGGGAGGATGGCCTTCACTGTACACCGGAGAAGGAATCCTCTACTTTGAGAACATAAAAGCCTGGAGTCCTTCACTGATACTCCTCCACCCTCAACCTAAATGCACAGGGAAAAAATGTCTTCTATGAGCATCCAGGCGTGATGACTTCGATCGTGAAATTCCAGGAAATCCCTCAAATTAACTGTGGCTTTTGCTTTTCCTTAACTGTGTCTCTGTTCACGCAGTGAACCCTCAGGATCAGGCCCACGGGAAGGGCCCAGGAGGCTGGAAACTCCTCCAGGAGAGGCTGGGCACTTGGTAAAGTGGTGCTTTCCAAGGAGAGGAAAACCAAGTTCCTTACAACCTGCCAAGACTTGTGATTTCAGAGTTGACTTTTGCATTCCAAGGATCTTGCCTGTACGAAGAGGGCCACCTGAGGTAGAGTGGGTGGATCTCTAAGAGGTGAAACTGCTTCCAGGGTTCCCAGGGACTGAGGTGGTAGGAGGTGTTTATTTTTAGAAGGTCTATTTCTATTTTTTATTTTCTTATACAGGGGAAAGAGTAAAGGCCTTGGTGATACAGATATATTGGGTTGGCCAAAAAGTTCCTTGGGATTTCCATACCATCTTACATAAAACCCAAATGTTTTGGCCAACCCAATATTATATATTTCCTGCTTTTTTGTCCTCAAGAAGGAAACCTCAGGTCAGTAGAAATGGAACCAAATGGGGAGGGGGAGATGTGTGAATAAAGCATGTTCTCTCCAAATCTCAAGGAACCTCCATCACCGGATTGGGAGGCTGGAGCAGTGGGCTGGACCCGGCTCTGCCAGGCCAGGCAAAGCCTGCTGGACCCACCCAGCAATGCTCCTCCTGGCAGGCACTACCCTGACCTTGCAGGAGAAACTGTTGTTCAAATGCAGAGACGGGGGCAGCAGCAGGAAACCCTGACCATCCAGGGGCCTGCGTTACAGACTCCAAATTCCAGAGTTAAAAAGAACACAGCTGTGCTGAACGCTTAACATCTGGGGACATAAACTACCTCTAACAGACTTAAGAAATAGTCACATGCAGTCTAACTTCTGCAGGCAGCTCACTGGCTCCAAGGGATGATCTACTAGTCTAGAGGCTGCCAAATTAGAGCCTGAGGGGGGAATGTGGCCCCTCCTGTTTTTCTAACTACAGTTTTATTGGAACACAGCTGAGAAATGGAATGTTTCCTGCCATATCAGAAAACAGGGATGTCACAGTCATCAGCAATTACAGTCCTTCAAGGTGAGCTGGTGCGCCCTGAGGGAACTCAGGAAGAATGCCTGCGATCCGGCAGCCATCAGACTGCAGCCACTCCCCGCTGTGAGCCCCAAGGGAGCTCTGGATGCGAAAAACACAGGATACTGGCCTGGGACAGCCAAAATGCAAATGAGAGGGACGACTTCAGTGAGTCCAGGCTCCTGCATCTTCCCATACACAGAGAAGCACTAAATTCCTTCACTTGGGTTATCTGGGTTCCCTTAATAAACAAAAATCAGTTCAGACTACCTGCCCTTTGTGGCAAAACTTCCATATAACCTGATGGATCCTCCCCTGGTCTCCTCAGAGCAGTTCTCCCAGGGTTACTTGAGATGCTGTCTCCTGGGCTTGAAGTCTTAAAAAGTCCCACCAAGCATTAAAACATACCCTTTCGCTTTTAGGATGTGAGTATCTTTTTTGCACCCACCCAACCACACGCGCTCTTTTAGTTAGGGTCGCTGCTGCTTTCATCCTCAAAGCGTGGAACTGAATGACTGGACAGTGACTACGCGGTTCGTAGAACCCACCGCACTTATTTCCTGGGTGGCACATTCTGCAAAGAGTACTCCTACTAGATCTTACTGTGCCCTGATCCAGCCCAGCTCCTCATTTCACAGATAAAGAACCTGAGGCCCAGACAAGTTAAGAAGTCCGGTGGTGGCAGGACCAAGACCTGAACCCAGACTGATGCCCCTCACCCTTCAACGCTGCCCAGGTTTGAATGAGGGTGGAGGCACATGGGTCCCTTGTTCTGCGGTGCCTTCTGCTCCATGTCTATGGGGGTGGGCGGTGGGGAGGGATGAGCAGAGAAAACCTCTATGAAAAATAAAGATGGCCTCTGCCACTATCAACTACCATTTTCTTCCAGCTTATTAAGCAGAGCAGACTTGACTGTGTTGAGGCTATTTTGGGGTCAAGTTTCTATAAAGGCAGCATACTCCAGTATTCTTGCCTGGAAAATCCCATGGACAGAGGAGCATGGTAGGCTACAGTCCATGGGGTCGCAAAGACTTGGACACAACTGAGCGACTTCACTTTTCTATCAGCTGAACCTGTATACACAAAAAGGGGTCCTCTACACCGCCCCAGAAAGCACGTTCCCGTGGCTGAAGAGGGTCAGTTTCAGAAGCCCCCAGGGCAGGACTAAATGGTGCAAACCTGGCTAAAAGTGAACATCTCAGTTAGAAGTCCTTTGTCTGGGGTCTCCATTCATTCTCGCAGGATACACAGGAGCTGTGTGTCAGGAAACCAGCCCAGATCTCACAAAACTATCTCTAAAGCGATTCCAAAAAAATAACCTCCTCCCATCCGAAAGGCAGCTCAGATCCCAGGGACAGAGTCTGCCCACACGGCACGCAGGCTGCCTCGGGCACACTGTGGGAGGTAAATGTGTGGCCAGCCGGCTCCTAGACATCCAAGTGTGAGTTACAGGTCAGCCACAAAAGCAAAGGAAAACAGTCTTTGCCAAGGAACTGTGGCCCCCAATTGGTACAGCCACAGAGCAGACACCTCGTATCACCTCAACTCAAATCCCCTTTAAGAAACTACAAGAGGGACTTCCCTGGAGGTCCAATGGCCGGCCAGTGCAGGGGACACGGGTTCAATCCCTGATCTGGGACGATCCCACATGTGTCAGGCCAACAGGTCCTGAACCTGTTCAGGCAACTACTGAACGAGAGTGTCCCAACTGCTGAAGCCCGTGAGCCTGGAGCCCATGCTCCAAAATAAGACAAGCCACTGAAATGAGAAGGCTGTGAACTGCAGATCAAGAGCAGACCCCGCTCAACACAACTAGAGAAAGCTGGCGTGCAAGAACAAAGACCCAGCAGAGTCATAAGTCAGTAAGTAAATACAAATTTAAAAAGAAAAGAAACCGTATGAGTTTAGTATGGAAAAGTGATTCTCTCCTGTACCAGGAGGTGGCCAATCTAGCCCAGCAGCCCACCTTCCTCTGCCTGGCTGACCCTTCCCCACCACTGGGTTCTGACCGGGCCTGGCCTTTGCTGGGCCACTAACTCTCTAGCACACCAAGCCTGGGACGCAGAAGGCCACGGGGCTGCAAAGTCAGACACGACTCAGCGACTGAACGACAACAACAAAACTCTACATTAAGCTCCACACTCTCCCCTTCACATTCTGCCTCTTCATCTCCATCCATCAACGGTGTGGGGAAATACATAACAAACGTTCCATAAGTTATTCCCTTTCCTGCTCACTCGTGTTCTTAGACCTGTATGGATTCACTGAAATCTAACAGTGCTTCCAAAATAGGACTGCTGGCAAGGTTCAACCTTAAATCTGGCTGGCCAAAATGAACAGCAACAACTTTATAAACGCCTGCACCAGGTTCTATGCTTGTGTGAGTATAACAGGGTTTAAAACTCATGCCCATCACTTTCAACCTGGGCAGGCTGCGGACACTCTCGGGGCCTAAGCTTCCTCGTCTGTAAAATGAGGATGCAGTAATGACACCAGGTGCATCAGTTACTCGAGATGATGCAAAGTGGTTATCGCAATGCCTGGCAATACATGCTACTAATCTGCCCTCACCTGCCCACCCCCCGCATGTGGATATCTCAATCCAGTGAGTGCTTCTGTGAGACTGCTGCCGGGGGAGCTGACTGCTAGGTGCCCACGTACCTGAAGGGCTTGCTGTCAGGGTCGGTGTCCTTGAAGCCCATCTCCTCGAGCTTACAGCGCCGATACAGCTCATAATGGCGGGTATGTGTCTGTTCTCGTAAATCTTCCATGTTCACACGGATCAACATCTCTCGCAGCTTCACAAAGTCACAGTGGTTTTCATTCTCCACTGCGAGAGACGGGGAAGAAGGCAGGGAGGGTTCTCAGCAGCCATGTCATCAAGATCTGAAGTGATGCTTCTAAGATGTTGTTACCATGGCTACTGAAACCTCTGAGGTCTCAAGGTCATCCAAGGATCCTCTACTGGATCCTCCTTCCACCCCTAACACAGACAGGATTTCTGACATCGGTGATGACTGTGCCTGATGACAAGGGTGACCGCTGAGGGCAAGGCACCCTGGGAGGAGCTCTGCAAACACTGTCTCAACTCTGTAACAGTTCTGCCAAGCAGGCTATGTGACTCCTGCCCCCCCAGATGCAGAGCATGGTCCTGATGAGCAGGCTGACCTCCCAGACAGATGGAGTAGAGTCTACATCTAGACCTTGTCATATCTGGTGATTTCTACCCCTCCATGCTGTCAGGACCTATACAGGGCAGCTTTTATGTACCAGCTCCTTTAATTTTACCAACAACAACTTCTTGCTGTTGTTCAGTCACTAAGTCGTGTCTGACTCTGCAACCACATGGACTACAGCCCACCAGGCTCACCTGTCCTTTACCATCTCCTGGATTTTGCTCAGATTCATGTCCACTGAGTCAGTGATGCCATCTAACCATCTCATCCTCTGCCACCCCCTTCTCCTTTTGCATCACCAATATGAAGAACGTCTTCTTATTGCAGAGAATTTAGGAAGATTCACACACACTAGAATTTTCCTATACGTCTCAAAGGTACTGTGCTTTCTCAGTTCTCATAGATTTGCTGCCTTTATTAAGAACAAGAGGACTGATAAATCTTAAACTGATGAAGGAACTTTCTTTCTGCAGCCACCCGACTTAATCCATAGCATTGGATAAGCTCCTTCACAACACACAAGGGCAGGCAACAGAATCAGAGACCTTGCCCAACAAAGTGACACAGGAAAAAACGTCTTCAGGTTAGAGACTGTGGTCATGTCCCCGAGTGCCAATTACAGGTCACTTATTCTCATAATTCTCAGATACTGACTGAGAAAACATTTCATTAGAAGACAATTTCTCAGGAGATAATGGAGAAACAAGTATCATCTTGTTTGCGAGAGTATCATCTTTTTGCAGCTTCCTGATACTTGGCTGATGAAACTGGTTCAGACTCCCAGGGAAGAACTCTCTTCGCTCAGGAATTTATAGTAAATTCCCCACACCACCCAGCATTCCTGACGGGCTGCCTCATGGGCACAAAGGCTCTCTATTGTGTTCCGGCCTCCCCATTTCTTTCTTTCCTCCCCGACTGCCAGCGGCCCCCTTCCACCCTCCCATGTCGAGTCCCCGCATGGTCACTCTGGGGGTGACAGCTGAGGAGCGCCTTCCCCGTGATGCCCATGTACATACCCTGCACCACACCCCAGGGGTACTGCCTGGCCTTTGCCATCTTGTTGCCGATCTTCACCTCTTCGGTGCTGCCGACTACTGCAAAAGGGAGGTGGACCTGCCAGCAACAGAGGACAGAGCGGTTACCCTCCCCAGGCGGCGAAGATGGGCCCCCGCTGCCTCCAGACGCCCGCTCCTCCCGCAGGCGTCCCCTTGGAGCGAGAGAAAAGGCGCAATGAAGGCAGACGAGGGAGGGGGCTGACAGCCCAGTGCGGGTAGGTGTCATGGATCCGACGCCCCTGCAACCAGCTACCGAGGCTCTGACGTGGGCGAGACTCCAGGGGAGACTGGAGTCTTTACAATTATATACACGGTAAGTCAGGGACCGCCAGTTCCTGACGGCAGCCACTGATCTATGTGGTTACAGAGCACTTGCCAGGAGGCTGGTAAGATGAAGAAATTTTTAATTTGATTTACCTTTAATTCATTTACACTTAAAAGGAAGCAGTGTGAAACAATTTTCCCTTAATTACAACTTTATGGTTTTGGTAGGACTGCACTCATGTGGCATCAAATTTAAATCTTTTTAAAAAAAAAAAGAGGAAGAAGCAGTTATGTCAATGTGGACATAAACATGAAGGAAAATTATCTTTTTTGTACTTATTTCATATTGAAAAACTTTGAAGTATGTGAGGAGTCAGTTAGGTAGGTGTCCAAGTAGGGATGTATGTAACTGTAAAATGTGCGTTGGGGAATTCCCTGGTGCTCCTGTGGTTAGGACTCTGCGGTTTCATTGCCATGGCCTGGGTTCAATCCCTGGTCAGGAAATTAAGATCCTGCAAGACTCGCAGTGCAGGCAAAAAAAGACGAAAATAAAATAAAATACACAAGCACACACAGAAATGATATTTTTTATATACTAGGTTAAATAAGTTCTTAAATTTATCTTTTTACTTTTAAAAAATGTGGCTACTGGAAAATTTTAAATTCCTTGTGTGGCTCACTCTATATGTCTATTGAACAGCATTGCTTTTGACAGTTGATCACTGCACAAAACTCAAGTGAGAAAATTACTGGCTCAGGCCTTGCACCCAGACTTACCTTGAGCAGAGATGCTATATAAGACACCTGGCTGACCATGCTCTGTGCCACATTGATTTATTTGGTAACTATGGCTACATTCTGGGGAGAAAACAGTGATTCTTTTTCCTATTAGCAGGTAAGAGTAACATTTGAAATGGCTGCTCTGCGATTGATTGCTGATAAATAATTAATCAGCAGCTATTTACTGATTTACTACTCCCTGATGCAGGGTCCTTCTGCTACAGATAAACCGAGAAAGATGATGTTTTTAAAGCTGAATCCTCTCCCAGAGAGAGCTTGGCAGAACCCTTGGCCTAGGCTGCCCAGGTGCTTCTCTGTCTGGTGCTCATGGTACTTATATTTTCTAGTTGATTTCACACTGTGGACGAAGGAAGCACATCTTCTTCCCCAGCGTCCGGAACTGCAGAGCGTCCCTTGAGTTGAGGGCAGCAGGACCCTTGCAGCCCACACTATGATGTCACGACCTAGGAAACCACCTGCCCCATCGGCGCTGATGGACAGAAGCCGCCACTGTCCCCTAGGATAACCTTCCCTTCACATGCTCTCATGGCCGTTTCCCAGGAAGCATCTCTCCTGGGTTTCTTCCAAGGATTCCAGACCCTTTACTATTCTGGCCACAGAAGCACGACAGCCAGAGGGGCCCACACAACTCAGGGTGACCAGACCCGGGTGGAGCAGAGCTGACTAACCTCTGCAGGAATGAGATCCTTCAGTGCTAAAGGCAACAATTTTCCAGAGAAGGAAAACATTCTATTCCCTTCCAAAGTCCTGGTCATGGTGGGGATGACTGGAGGGAGATGTTCCTCCCTAAGTGATAACAGCCCTATCTAGAAGTGATATGCTGAACAGACGGAGGAAGAAGCAGTTCTGAGGAATTACTCTCATCTCCTAACTATGATGGCAAACAGCACAAATCTGGTTGAAATTTCGGTTAGGTTGAAATCTCAGTGTTACTATTCACTAGATGGCTTTTACCAAATTATTTAATTCTCTAGATAACCTTCAGTATGACTTTCTTTGTATAAAATGTCCACAATACGCAAATCCACAGGGACAGGGAGGTATAGACTGGTGGTTTTCAATGTCTGTATGTGTATGTGTGCTAAGTCACGTCAGTCTTGTCCAACTCTTTGCAACACTATGGACTGTAGCCCGGCAGGCTTCTCTGTCCATGGGATTCTCCAGGCAAGAATACTGGAATGGGTTGCCATGCCCTCCTCTAGCGGATCTTCCCAACCCAGGGATCGAACCTGCATCTCTTACGTCTCCTGCATTGGCAGACAGGTTCTTTACCACTAGCGCCACCTGAGAAGCCCCTACCAATGGCTGGGATGGTCAGAAGGCTGACATCTGAAAGGTACACAGTTTCTTTCTGGGGTGATGAAAACGTTCTAAAATTGATTATGGCGATAGTCACACAATTCTGTGAATACTAAAAACCACGGCACCATCATCACTGGATGGTCCTTCCGTGAGGACTTACACTCATCGTTGCATTAATCTCTGCCACCGTTTCTTCATCTGTAGGGAACTGATAGATCTGGACTCCATTGCTGACTAGTTCACTCATGATCTTACTCTTGAATTTGTGCAATTCGTTCTTGGCAATGGTGTCAGCTTTTGCAATTATTGGAATGATGTTCACCTGTAAACCAAACACAGCCATTTTTATTTAATTCCAACAGAAGAAAAACAGACAAATGAATAAAATATAGAAAACATAGAAATGGAAATTGTACAACTTCACTTAGAAAATAGAGATGATATTAAAAATTGCACTTTCTACCTAGATGCAAATTTCAGAAGATATGCGATAATCTTTTAATTCCATCTCTGAACACTTTACTTCCTCCCATCTGGCACTGAAAGACAGCATCCTTGTAATTTCCTCTTCTGTGCCACCTCATTCTTCCTTACGGTGTGAAAGGAAGTGTTACTCTATGACAAAGAACGATAACAAAGAAGCCTGTCCTTTCAGTAACCAGCCACTCCGCTGGGACTCCTCCCAGCTTCTTTAGGAGCTTGATTTTGGCAAGTTTCTAACAGTCCAATACCAAGGTTTTCGGTAGTTAGAATAGTAGAACATGCAGCTCTATGAGGATGGCATCCTTTCTTTCTTCTGATGACCTGAAAACTGCTAGGAGCAGGGAGCCTAAACATTAACCAAAACAAAAATGGTTTCACCTACTTTTAAATTTTTCAAAATCACATCAACTAATTCTCGAGAACCAGCTTCTATCACATTACTCTGTGCCAGAATGAGACCTAGTGCCAAAGACAAAACTCACTTTCAGAGCATCGGATACAGAGAACTCAGGATTTGACAATAATGGCAGAAAGCCCAGGGCAAGGACTGAGGGCCCTCCAGCTCAACCCCTAAAGCCCAAGGTGGGCCACTCTTCTCCCAGCTTGCCCCAGCACTGTCCATAAGGCACATTTTAAAAAATTCAGTTTTAAAAAACAACTTCCTTCCACTCCCTGCTTGGTACAAAGGTTTCAATAAGATGCTATTGACATCTGATACTGAAGACCATGTGCTTCACCCAGGTCAGCTGGAAAGGGAACAGAAAGTGGTCCCAGCCAGAGAAAAGAGAAACTTCTGGGAGGTTTTCCGGGTCATGTCCGCATTCCTTTGCTTCTCCTTTTATCCCAAGAGCCAAATCAAAAATAAACCAGAATGAGATGACCCACTGATGGAAAAAACCTATTCTTCCCTATTCCTCAACCCACTCCTCACCTTATCATGCGTGGGCTTCCTCCAGCAAGTTGCAGGCCAAGGCAGACATCACTGAGGGTTAGTGAATGTCTGAATCAGGACCTGGGCAACAAATTCCCCTGTTTTTCATATTGGCTAACTTTTGTGCACATTTGGTATTCAGTTAATTAACATGAACAAAATGGCAGAGGTTCATATTTTCCTGGCCAATTTGATGAGAGTAGACAGAAGAACCAAGCAAATTTAGATTTAAAATCTCTCCTTCAGAGGCAGGTGCTTGGAAATCTTCTCTGAAATTATCATATATTTGCCTTAATTCTTTACTTGACTTGTACCAACAAACCTTTGGCAAAATCATTTTCAAATTCTCTCCAGCATTCTATCTCTACAATAATATTAGTTCTTTGAAAGCAGCTGAATCTGTTTTATAGTGATGGCTTTGTTTTAATTAGCTGCATTTGCCTTTCCTTTCCCCTTTGAAATCAACTCTACGAAGCATAATCCTATCGTTGGATATCACCCTGATGGGGTCTACAAGCTCTGCCTCAGTGAGGAAGCCACCTCCCTCTGCCTGCCTCCCAGCCCTGCTTTCAAGGGCCTGACAGTGCAGGGAGCAGGGTCCCCCTGTCCAGGACCCCGCACCCTTAATGGCTCACTGTAGCTGAGATGAGATGAGGGAAGGTTTCTCTTTATTCTCCCAAGAATACTCCAGCTACAGGAGTCCTTTCTGGCTGGTAGAATATGTTTGTGTAAAGCAGTGTGCCTGTGCAGGCTGGGGCCTGGGGAGCCTGGCATGGTATCAGCACGGGGGCCTCCTATGGGCTGGTTCAGGCAGAGGCCTTGGGGACATGTGGATCTTCTCAGCAGTCTCTATTATGTCCCTCCGGGGAGAAAGCATCCTTTAAACAGAGCTGTTGGGACAGAAAATAACACCCAACAAAGCCCGTAAAGATACTAAGACTTGTTACTGATCTCAAAAGCAGGTTAGAATCTAAGAGGAAACACTAGAGTAGAATTCTGTGGTTGTTCTCACTGCTATTTGCTGCTTCTTTATTTCACAATGTATTGTCTTCCTACTTATTTCAAAATGGAAAATCAAATTAGTCGTCAAGTACGTCATCAAATGCAGTCAAACTTAGCAGCCCCTTCTCTCAAATGTTGTGAAGTAGAGAGGTTATACATGTGCAAAGATCAGGCGTCAAACGCAATCTGAGATAATACTTCTGAACACAGGGTACATCTGTTTTAAAATCTAAGAAGTTAGACCAACCTTATCACATAGATAAAAAAGTAACACGCTTTTAAAAAATCTTAAACTTTAAGTTAAAGCCAAGCCTATATAAACCCTTCAAAGAGAGGTTTAAAGCAAGTTTCTTTAAAAACATAAATCATGAATTATTGTTCAATCTCCCTAAATTGAACCTTTCCTATGACCCTTTAAGGTGTCTCCACTATACAATTCCCCAGCCCTCAACAGAGCACACACTAGTGCTAATTTAAGAACTGAAGAGCTCTTTTCCTCCTTGGCTGCTTGAAGATCAGCCGTCATCACAAATGACACAGCAACTATCCAGACCAGTAAGTTCACGACCAACCAGCTACTTCAGCGGAAATGATGTCCTTCACCCTGGAAAGGCAACAGTCCCTAAGACAGAAATTCGGGAAAAACTGGCCAAAATGTCCAAGACCAAATGTCATCTTTGACATTTGGATTCAGAACCCATTTTGGTGATGGTAAGACAACTGGCTTTGGCATGATGTACCATTCCTTGGATTATGCAAAGAAGAATGAGCCCAAATACAGGCTTGTAAGACATGGCCTGTATGAGAAGAACAAGACCTCAAGAAAACAGTGCAAGGAACACAAGAACGGAGTGAAGAAAGTCAGGGGGACTGCAAAGGCCAGTGCTGGCACTGGCAAAAAGCAAGCTGGAGACTGGACGACAGAAGGAGTAAAGATTCTGCAATGACTGTATCTGTGGTGATTGTACAGATTTTTCATGAAAGAGAAAATAAATGAAGACCTCTTACATGAAAAAAAAACAAAACCAACCCACCAAAGATACTTCATAATAAGTTACATGATTTTGCTTTGTCCTAATATCCAGAGGTTTTGAAACATTTTTTTTCATACTGTTAAACCTTATGGTTCTATAAGCCAGTGAAAAGAAATACAGGGTTAGGAAGTAGAGGTGGGGATGAACAGGTGGAGACTTCTAGGGCAGTGAAACTACTCTATTTGATACTCTAGTGATAATTACATGTCATTATAAATGTGTCCAAGCCCACAGAATGTACAATATGAAGAGTGAACTCTTGTGTAAACTATTGACTTGGGGTGACAGGGATGTGTCAATGTAGGTTTTTTTATTGTATTAATAACAAATGCACCATCTTGGGGGGATATTGGTAATAGGGGGCTATGCATGTGCAGAGCAGGGAATCTATGGAAAATATCTGCATCTTGCTCTTAATTTTGCTGTGAACCTAAAACAGCTTCCCTCGTGGCTCAGATGGTAAAGAATCTGCCTGCAATGCGGGAGACCTGGGTTTGATCCTTGGGTTGGGAAGATCCCCTGGAAAAGGACATGGCAACCCACTCTGGTACTCCTGCCTGGAAAATCCTCATGGACAGAGAAGCCTGGTGGGCCATAGTCAATGGGGTCGCCAAGAGTTGGACATGACTGAGTGACTAAGCACACACAAAACTACTGTAAAAAATAGTCTTTAAAATAAAACACCAAATTACACCAAAAGCAAAGGTCCCCTGGGGCCTCTGGATAAAGGTGATCTTAGGGGAGAGTGGATGGCACCTAGAGCAGCAGTGAGTACCTTACTGTCCAGCTTCTTCATGGTGACCAGGTCCAGGGATTTGAGCGAATGGCCAGTGGGGGCGATGAAGTAGAGGCATGCATGGATCCTGGTGTCATGGTAGTTGAAGAGAGAACGTTTGATCTTCAGTTCCTCTTGCAAGTAGGCCTCAAACTGGGCATCGATATATTCCACGATCGGCTTATAGCTAGAATGCAGAAGACGGTTATTAAGACACATTTTTAAATCAGCATGTTGCTAGTCTCAAACCTCTTCATACAATCCTCCAGGAAAGCCCTTAGTGGTTCCCTGTTCCCTAAGAGCTAAAGCCCAAGCTCCTTACCTTGGCAGCCCAGGCCTTTGGCCATGTGGCCCCTAAACATCGCCCCAGGCCCCCCATCCTTCTCCTTCCTAGTTCATGCTTTCTGCCCCTCATGGCACGCTCTTGCCTGCCTCCAGGCCTTTGCTCATGCTAGATCCCCACCTGGAATGGTCTTCCTCCTGTTAATCTCCTGGCTAACATTCATCCTTTAAAACAGTGATTAGAAATATGTAGGACACACTGTCACTGCCGCCATGGTGCCCAGGAAGCTTTTGCTAGGAGACTGCGGTATTCTTCCCTGCTGGGCCAAAACTGAGCCTCAAAATCTGTCCCCAAAAAGTGACTTTGACAGGCTCTCCCAACTGACTGGCATTGGTGCCCAGAGGGAAACTCCTCTGTGGTTTTAGGATGTGGCATGATCTCTGGCTGGCAGCCTCTCCCCGTTCCTCTGCCCAGTCCTTGAGGGATGAGGGCTAGCTACTCTGCTCTCAAAAAGCCCTGCGCTTGCCGTGACCTCATCTATAAACCGAAGTGCCTGGTCTATTAGGATCAAGAGTCCTTCCAACTCTCAATTTCATGATTTAAAGGTAAACTCTCTTCTCACCAAATCATAATTCAAATCTGTTTTGAATAATTACGCATGACTCTCTGAATTGACCACAAACACTATCATTAATAGCATCTGCGGGATATATATTCAATAAACCACATGTTCTCCAGGGATGAAGTAGTTCATCAGGTCACTACAGAAAAGCCACGAACTCTTCCAGGTCTCCAGAGGGGCTGCTCAGAAGCTAGCGTCAGCAGCAATGAGATGGGGAGAATAGGAATAAAATGGGTTAATCCTTCCCCAGACTTACTACCTTGCTGAGGAATGATTTAAGCTTTAAGAAAAATAAAGACCTCTTAACACTCAACCTGCAGACCCATAAATTAAACTGAAATCCCTGAAAGGGAACTATAAATACTTTATAATGAGGATGACAGCAGATGTCCTAAAAGAAAAAAACAAAACAAAAATTTATGACCAAAACTGAAAACAGAAAAAAGTTTTTCCTCTATTTTCCTTTGGTGATTTACTATAATCCATTGATTCAATCTGAGCAAAGCCTCTAGAAGTTTAAAGAAAAGGTAGACTGTGCCTAAAAAATCCTAAACATAATAGAAATTCCAATAGAAAGGATGAACAACTACTAAGATTCTTCTACATGTTCCAATTTTTAAATATAGGCAGGTAGGGCTTCTCTGGTGGTTCAGTGGTTAAGAAGCAGTACAATGTGAGGGACACTGGTTCGATCTCAGGTCCGGGAAGATCCCACATGCCGTGGACCAACTAAGCCCATAACCAAACTACTGAAACCCGCATGCCCTAGAGCCTGTGCTCGGCAACAAAGAGAAGCCACTGCATGATAAGCCCACACACAACTAGAGAAGTCCCCACTTGCAGCAACTAGAGAGAACTCACGTACAGCAAAAAAGACCCATTGTAGCCAAAAAAATAAACAAATACATAAATAAAAAAATTTTAATATAAGCAGGTATTACATAACAATATTCATAATCATTATTATGATAGGATAGTTATGTAAAATGGTGGCTAGAAGCATGGACTCAAGTCAGACCAACTAAGATCAAACTACAAATCCACAACTTTCTAACTTGCTTTGGACAAGTTCTTAAACCTCTCTGTGTTTCAATTTCCTCACAGGTAACATCAAGGACAAAAATATCACCTATATCGGAGCTAATGTGACAAATAAGTGAGCGAGTATATGCAAAAAACTAGCACATAAAAGTGTGAGATATAACTATTTCACAGTAAATTAATAAACCACAAATAAGAAAAAAGCAAGACTCAGTTTTCAAAAGACAAGGAAAAAAAGAAAAAGGAAATGTGTACTGACCCAGATCCACGGTAATTCTTCAGCCACCGGCTCATGCCCTGGAGGGCGGTGGCCCAGGCCACTCCAACGAGGCCACTCATGCCCTGTGAGTCCAGGGCCAGACCTTCGGGTCCCCTGACACTGAGGCAAGTGCTTGGGGAACCAGCGATCTCCCCAGCACCCTCTGAGCCCAGAAGGGAGGAAAGCAACTCAAGGCAGTTGCTCCTTCCTGTCCCCCCAGTTCCTGATTTGCAGCTTCCTAGCACCTCCCCCAACAGTGGTCCAAGAATGCTTCTTCTTTCTAGTAATTTCCTTTTCACCTTTGGTTTTGATTCTGTTCCTCCAAAATTATGGGAGGCACAGCATCTCTCCTTTTCCAGTGAAGAATGCTTTCTGCCCTGGATTCAGCATCTCCAAAGCCATCTCTTGTTCTCCTCTAATGTTTCAGGCTTCCTGCCGCCTTCCCCTGTTTAGGAGTTTGGGCCAATCTTTTCAATCTCCTTCTTTACCCTGTACGCAGTTTCCTTGGAAAATTACATTTCCTCTTGTGTTTTGCTTAACCAGATCTCTTACCTAAGTTTCAGACCACTCCATTCAACTGCTTACCAGATATTTCCACTTGCTCTTCTAGCTAATGTGCCCAGAATCACATTTCGTCTTGTCCCCAAACCCTACAAGCCCGTAGTCCTTAGCTCAGCAGATGGCAGCTCCGTCCATACTGCTGGCCAAATCAGAATCCTAGGTTCAACCCAGGGCCTGCCCACACAGAGCCCACCTCCCACACACAGCCAAGTACAAGATCCCACCTGTTCTAGCCTCTATAGCATTATAAACAAACGTATTTCAGGAAAACTATTGACCAAAATCACCATTCCCTGTGTTCCAGATTTCATTGTGTTGATGAAACAGCCTTTCTTGATGTATATAGTAAGTCAGCCTAGTGGCTCTGTTCTCCCTTCACATCCTTCAAATAAACTCTGCCCTCGCTCCGTCTCCTGTCCACGTGTTATCTACACTCAAAGTCATAAAAATAAGAAAACTGCATCCTTATTTTTGCCTTTTGCCAGTTTCGATTCTAATAGCGAGGATACTTATTTATAATCTGGTTTCGCCAATTCAAACTTCTTCGGATTGTAGCCATATCAAGCAGAGGAAAGGGGGCAGGTAAACCAAATCAAGTCGTCCGTTTTCACATAATTTCCTTAATTTAAGGCATGGGAGATCCCTTTTTATCCTCCATCTTTTTCCCCCCCATAAATATCCAGCCATTAAAAAAAAAAAAATGACAGTTGGTTGACCCTAAAAGTGATGGGAAAAAATATTTTATACAACGTTTTCTAGCCACCCAAGGTACCCATTGACCATGCTTGCAAAATAGCCTATGCCACTGTTCAGGGACTGACTCTCCATTTTGCATGTGAACACATAAACAGATACCTACCATATATTTTTCTCTGTCCTGCTATCTACTAGCCAAAGCTAATCTTCCTTATCTTTCAACTACCTCGACCAGGAAGTATGACTAAGACAGAATTTAAAGATCAAACAGACCACTCCATCAGCACTTTATAACTCTGATAAAGATTTGGTGAGTTTGAGGAGTCTCTCAGTGGACTTCAACTAGCTCGGCTTTTTGTGCTATCATCATTGTAGTTTGTAATACGCTACTGACATTCTATCTCCCATCTCCTAAATACGCAGCAAACGAACTCTTCTATTTCCAGCACTATAGCAGATTGCGATTTCCCTTCCTTCTCCTCTAGACCTCTTTCCTTCCTCACTGAATAGCAGAGACAGCAGAACAAGGATGTTCTTAGACCACAAAGAGTTAATCATGCTATTAAACAAAACAGGAAACCTTACCAGACCTCTCTTCCTGCCTCCTTCTAGTTAGCCTGGTCCAAGGCAGATAGTGATGCAGGAATGCTGACATGTCCAAAGCCTACATAAACAAACTGGGACATTCTTGAAGTCTTGCATCGATGGCAGAAAAGCTTGCCTAATCCTCAAAGTAGTAAAAATAATCATGGGTTTGGAGAAACAACACATCCCTTCGCATATGTTTACATACTGATACAAAAATGCATACCCCACTTCCAATTTTTTGATGGAAGCAGACCTTATCTGAATGACCTTTTTTTTTTTAAAAAAACAGCAGGCATTTGGGTTAACAGTCAACAGTGTCAACAATCCTTCTGGAGCACAGTTCTAAATGCCACTCACAGAGGTTATGCAACAGCTGTCAAGAAATTTCAAAAGAAAAAAAAAATATTTGGTATCTAGGTTAGGTTAATATCACACTTCCTCTCTTCTAAGTCTCCTTGGAAACTATTATTTGACCCAAATGAGTCAGAAATTTTCTTAAAGAGGCCTCCAGCTGCAAATGCGTGCATCAGCCTTGTACTGGCCACCTGCTGCTCAGGGCTGGCGAGTGAAAACCCAGCAGAAGGGTGGAGTCACATTTAACGGAGAAGTATAAAATGCAGTGGCAGTGCTGGGGCGATGACGGAGCGGGAATATCTCAAGGAATCTTAGCAGCAAGATGCAGGAGGATGGTTCTCATTCCCGCCAGAAGGCATCCTGAAAAAGTCCGGCCGCTGTCTGCCCATCAGGCAGCGCACACGCCTGGCATTCTGCAATGGCAGGGAGCAACCTGCACAGGTCAGAGACGGAGACCCGCCTTGTTGGATGGGTCCTCCTGACCACGAGAGGACCAGGAGCCCCCTGGCTTGCTTCCCAGCTCCCACAATGCACTTGGTGCTCTTCTGCGTGTCATCAGGGTTTTCTCTTCATCTGTTTCTCTGACCATCACACAGAGCATTCAGACAAGACCCTCTCCATCATTCCTTGGAATTGAAGTCATAAATCAAGGGCAATTGCTCGGCTGCAGGGGCTGTGCTTAGCTGTTCCCCACTCAACACAATGGACAGACAGTCCATTTTGACAGATGCAAAATAAAATCTTTCTTACTATGTCTAACAATTGCTCCTGTTATTCCACGCCAACGTTTACTAAAGAGCATATAAACTGCTCTATAGATAAACTAGAGTTCAGTGCTCAGCTAGAGCATGCGTTAAATATTTCTCTGTCATTACTATGGGTACATCTTTATATCAGAGACAGTTAAAATGTATCTAGACAATATACAGCTCTAGATTTTTAAAAAATGGTTAAAATTCCTCTTTAGAAAACACACATATACCATACACAGTTCAGAGGAAAATGAAGCACACAAATAAACAAAACCTGGTATGATACAAATGAAGTGTCTGAGCCCTAAGCAAACAGACTGTAACTTAATGTTCTGGTTGTCTTCTTCCCATTAAGTTGTCACTGCACAAAAATGTCTCTGGAAGCCTCCTTCTAGAACTATCTTTGGGCCTGGGACAGTTTAACTTTCTCAAACTTTTTTTAGAGAATGAACATAAATATTTAAAATAATCATAAGGGATTCAAAGATTAGTGAAGAAGATGAGTGATCTTGAGATGAATGCATGGGTGCACATCAGGAAGGTTTAAAAACTTAAACGCTTCCCTCAAATAAGGACAAATAAGGACTCAGAGAAAAGAGTTGAATTTGCCTGGCTTTATCAATTGAGTAGGTCTGTTTTATAAAAATAAAACACAGTACTAGTCTATAATTAGGTCAAGTTTATGTCAACTAGTGAATACATAAGATAGACTTACAGGCTTCCCTGGTGGCTCAGATGGTAAAGAATCTTCCCACAAGGCAGGAGACCTGGGTTAATTCCCTGGGTAGGGAAGATCCCTGGGAGGAGGGCATGGCAACCCACTCTAGTATTCTTGCCTGGAGAATCCCATGGACAGAGGAGCCTGGTGGGCTGCATGCAGTCCATGGGGTCAAATAGAGTCAGACATGACTGAATGACTAAGTCCAGCAAGACTGACTTATAACTAATATCTTCTGTCTACATACAAACTATAGGATCAAAATTTTGAAGAAAAAAAAAGACATTTTATTACTTAAGCAGGTTAAACATGTCTGTTTGCTACACTGACAAAGTAGTTTGTTATACACACATTATCTGGTTAGCTTAACAAACCCTCGCTGGATAGAGAATGAATGATCTGAATTCTTCACTGGGCTCCACTGAAATCACACTCATTATTCAGACTCAATGTGGCCATTCTGCACCCAGCAGGCCACCCAACTGTGAGCAGCCTACAGGAAGACCCGGACAAAGAACAAAGGAGCCACAGTGCTCACACCACGGCTCTAGCATCAATATTAAGATCCTGTGCCGGCTGGAAATCAACTACGATATTTGAGCTTTCACAAACATGCTTTCTTCACTTTGGGTTTTAAGAGCAGATACCCCTGATTGCCAAAGCCATCAAAATACAGGATTACCCCCTAAGATTTTCACACCCCCTCCTCCAGGCTCAGCCAATCACAGCGCCCTTCCTTAGACCCCACCTGAAAAGAGAGTGTACGCAGATCCCACTGGAAGAGACCTGAGAGTGTCTAGTGTCATTCTCTTAGAGTGAGATAAACTGCCAAGGACCCACAGCTGGTTATTGGCAGAATTCAGACCACAACCTGAGTCTACTAAATCCTGGGCTCTAGTTTCTTGGGCAAAATCATTACTGACTCCAAGTTTTCACTCAGTTCTGTAGGAATTTGGGGATTAAGTCAAATATCCCAATCTGTCTCGGTGACTAGGAGAGCATGAGGGTGTGCATGCATGCTAAGTCATTTCATGTTGTGTCCGACTCTTTACGACCCTATGGACTGTAGCCCGCCAGGCTCCTCTGTCTATGGGATTTTCCGGGCAAGAATACTGGAGTGGGTTACCATTTCCTCCTGTAGGGGAGTTTCCCAACCCAGGGACCGAAACCGTGTCTCTTACACCTCCTGCATTGGCAGGCAGGGTCTTTACCACTAGTGCCACCTGGGAAGCCCTAGGAGAGCAGGGCAGATGCTCATTCCAAACTCTTCTTTTTAATGCCTGGTTTTTGTTTTGTTTTCTTGGCAGAGTTAAAGCAACAACATCAACAACAACAAACACCAAACCAGAAACCACATTTTCCAGACCCTCTTGCAGCTAGTGTTCAGATGTGGTCTACTTCCCACCAAGCAGCTGCAGCCATACAAGATCTGGAGGCAGGGGGCATGTCACCCAACGCAGAAGCCACACACAGGGAAAGGGGTTCTTCTTGCAAGTAGTGATGAAGGCATTCAGTTAACAGCGACAGATTCAATGGAGGTTCTAGAGACCTGTCCCCAGCATCACAGGTACCAAATATATAAGGTAATTTGTGGCAGGAGTTCCATTAACCCTAGATGTTTCTCTAGATTGCTTTTCTAGGTGGGAAAGCCCCCAAACCTGGTTCCATGGCTTTTCCGGGAAAATATTATAAGCTAGCTTATTCCTTCTACCAAATCCCTTTTCTGCTCACACTAGCTGGAATCAATTACATCAGTTGATTCTGACCTCAAGAACATTCTAAGAAAATTTATCAGAGGACAAGAATGTCTTCTCTTGTAGCTGACAGGAGCCCAAGCCCCACAATGAGCAAACATTTAGTCTGCATTTACCCAGGATGAGTCTTGTTACCTCCTCATTCATTTACATCCCCACAAAATCCCAAGATGTACCTGTCATCTTTATTGATCTGATCTCCAAATCCCACAGTGTCAACGATGGTTAACTTCAGCCGCACGTTGCTTTCCTGAAGCTCATAACTTCTGGCTTTTAACCGGACACCTGGTTCATTGTGAGTCGCTGGGTCACTTTCAAATTTGGTGTTGAATAAAGTGTCCATTAACGTGGATTTGCCGATGCCCGTCTCGCCTGCATGACCACAAGCGAGAAATCAAAGGAGGTGTCAGTGCCTCTGAGACATCAGTTGACATCATCAGGAGTGTTTTTTTCTTTTTTAAAAAATCATTATGTTAGTAAAAATTTTTGAAAAGTCAGTCTCACCAGATATCCCACCACAAAAAAATAACTCTTTCCATGTATGATCTATGGAATACCTCCCTAGAAAAGGCTTAATGGATTTCAAAAACCATTCGGCAGAGAAGATCTTGAACTTATAGATCAAGACGCTCTTTTTACCTCTGGATAGAGAAACAGAATGTAAAAAGCTTGCCTGTGGTCAGTTTGTGGTCATTTCAAAGACATAAACTGTAGCTCTTCCTCACCTAAATGCTGGCGTGTAAAATATCAATATAGTACTTAAAAAAAAAAATATCTATATTGCTGAGTTTCTGTTACTAGGAAAATGGGAGAGACTGATTGCATTTATATTGCCTTATTTGATACCATTTAATGTTGTGGGAAAGAATTACATTTTTTCAAAACAACACTCTTAACAAATAACAACAAAAATAACAAACCCAGCTACAATTGCTGAGCACTTACTTTGTACCAGGTCCTGTGACAAGAGCTTCCAATGTACTATCTCATTAAACCCTAGTACTAATTCCTGTGGAATAAGTGTTACTGTTTCCTCCCTTTTACAGATGAGGCATTAAGGCTTAGATAAGGTTTAAGTAACTTGTCTAAAGTCATATTGTTAAATGGCAAAGCCACGTTTCTAACTCGGGTTTGTGTGGTTCTAACACCTACATTCAACCAATTGTGACACTGTTACAGAGAAAACTGACTGCCTAATATTTTCAGGTATGGTTATGAATCTGTGAGAATCCTTTATATTATCTCCGTTTGTATTTCCCTATTCAGTAGATGGCAAGCATTTGTTAGATGTCCTGGTATTCAGGCTGATGTTTGTGACAATGAAATTGAATGATGTTAAATGACCTGCAAAGATGGCCTTACTGGTTCACATTATAGTTCAGGTCATCAGGTTTCACTGAGCCTCTAATATATGCAAATAAGAGTGGCAGGTATTATACGAAAGCAATCAAATGGTAAGACCCAAATGTAGAGCCATGGAGAACCTTAACCTGATCTTTAAAATAAAACCAAGAAAAACTTTCTCTTAATACTAATTCTTGAGTCAAAAATAGTTGGCAAAGAGAAAGAACCCACCCACTTCTGTGACCGTGGTTGAGTGTGTGATGGTAGAAATCAAGAAACATTATCTACAGGAATGCATTTTTTAAAACAAAATTTGGAAAATTTCCCCAATTAGATTTTCAGCTCAATTTAAACATACCAGTATACTGTAGCCCTTTCAACAAATCTCAATCCCATGATGTTCCTAGGGACAGTATCTCTCTTCTGAAGGGTTGCTGTAATGCCTTTTAGGATGGTGACAATTCCATAGGAGAAAAAAAGAGCTCTGGGATTGGCAGCCTTAGGGCAACCTTCCCACTGAAAAGACAAAATCCACTTACTAATTAGAAGTTCTGTATTACTCATTGCTTTCCAACATAGTACAAAAATGAAGTAGAATGGAATCTCTCTGTAACTGAGCTTTCTCTAATTAGAAGCCTTCTGTGGTTTGCCACTGACTACCATGATTCATTTGTAGGATAAAAGTTGGTCAAGAACATTTGCCTGACTCTTCAGCTTTACCCATTGGACCTGATACACCTAAGATCAAAGAACTTCCTCCTTCATCTGTCTTCATTCAGCCAGTCTCTTTTCCAGCTTTGTGCCAAGTGTTGGGAATACAACAGTGAACTGACTGGATATGGTACGCTCCCATAGCTTAGAATCTGATCTGGAACATGACTAAATACCAAGCAGACTCTGATTTACTATTATGGGAATGGTATTTACATGCCTGCCATAACCACCTTCCTCTCACAAACAAGACCATGGTTTATTCCTTGGACCTTGCTGATGACCACAGATAACTGGACCAGTGCTATGCCCCTGTTGCCCCCTGGGGCACCCCCAGAGCTGCACCCATGGACATGCAATTATTATGCTGTGAGAATGCTCCATATTCAACAGTGATCTGTGTATCTAATCACACTTGTCTCTTTGGGACTTTGAATCTGCACACAGCATGATGGCAGGAGAAAGAAAAGATATACTGAGAGAAGTGAATAAGCAGATGCCATGAGGCTATAAATAAACAGAAGACATGCTGTTGACAGACCATTAGCCAGGCATATAGGAGAAAGAGAGCAGACAGATATAGTAGACGTTAGTATCTGAAATTCATTCATTTATAGTACTTCTGTATTTACTATGTAACAAACAAAGGTGCTGGGGATAAAACGGTAAACAACAATAGCAACTGAAACTTCTTGAATATCTGTAATATCCTGAATGTTGTTCAGAATCTCCATGCAGTCTGGCTGTGTAGCAGTTGAGACTGTTTCTTATCTTCCTTATTTTCCTTAATATTCTAACCAAAAAGACTCATCAATGAAAATAATCAAAAGTAGGCTCTGTTTCCTAATGCTCAACAAGCTCATAACCATGACTGGTAACAAAATAACTCTTGAGCAAAATAAAGTTACTAAGCAATGGATACAGAAAACAGGGTTTTCACTCATACGATACATAGAATCTGGACAGCGATTCAGTATGGAAGGTACGCCAGTCATTTTAAGTTAAGTACATGAGTATCTTTCTCGATACAGCAAACTTCTTTTCAGAATTTACTGGAGTGGGTAGCCTTTCCCTTCTCCAGGGGATCTTCCCCACCAAGGGATCGAATCTAGGTCTCCCGCACTGTGGGCAGATTCTTAACCAGCTGAGCCACAAGGAAAACCCAGAGTAATGATCAAGGAAGAACAGCAGAGCTACTTTATAAAATTTCCTCTATAAGGTCAAGGTTCTGACAGTGGAAAAGTGACCCATCTTACTTCCATCTCTTTCCCTCAGAACAGCAATAAAAACTACAATTTACATGGCAAGAATTCTAGGTTACCTGGACAACACTGAAATTACCATTTACTAAGTTGAGAATTAGTTAAGCATATGTGAATCAAGAATATGATGCTTTTTTTTTAAGGCAACATAATTTTAATTATTATTTGCATTAAGGTGGACATTATGAACCATTAGCATTCCCGGCCCTACTTATAGCACAGGGTTAATCAACGGGTTGGAAAAACCACTGTTCCTCTAAATTTCAGAGTGCTTAGCTTTCCATTTCTATGCTCTGTGCTTTTAAGAGCCCTAATTAGACACCATTACCCTAGCAGCGGTGCAATTCACCAAAAGTATTTCACGAAGAAATGACATTTGGGGGAATAAAAGGAATTCTAGAGAACTAGGAGAGCTTTTCAATGTGTTCGTTGCTGAGGTCAATCTCGAGCCTCAGAAAAGAAGGCATTTTCTATACTTTTGAGGACACGCAAGAGCAAAAAGGCTTCTTTTGAATTGAGTTAACTGAAAGCCTACCTGGCACAGGTTCCAACTCAAACCCAACAACTGCAACAATATTTCGAGACAATTAATGACTAACAGGAACTCTGCAACATCTCAGAACCCCTGGCTTTCATAAAAAGTAACTGAAAAGTGGTCACAGTGATCACTTATACTGGAGACTTGCCACTTTGGTAGATTTTTCTGAGTCTGTAGGTTATTCTGTGGTAAGTTCATCTGCCCAAACAGCTGTTAGAGAAATGCGAGATTTACTCTTGAGGGGCTGTCTGGGGCTTCTGCTTCTCCTGCTCCTGCCACAGCACAGTGGAAAGCAGGTCTGCCTCTCCCATTGTGTTCTCAGGCTTACATAAATCTCAAGCTCTAAGCTGCTGCTGCGGCTAAGTCGCTTCAGTCGTGTCTGACTCTGTGCGACCCCATAGACGGCAGCCCACCAGGCTCCCCCACCCCTGGGATTCTCCAGGCAAGAACACTGGAGTGGGTTGCCATTTCCTTCTCCAATCAAGCTCTAAGCTGGACACTGTTTAAAAGCTCTAAGCTGGACACTGTTTAAAAAGAAAACGAAGGAAAACAAAAAGAGCACAGAGCAATGTATTATTAATTAGAAGGTAATTAATTGTAAACTGAGCAAATAGTTGATCGGTGATGCAGCATTTTTTACTCTGACTGCCAAAACTGGCTACTTGGATAATTATTATTATACCTACTCAAATAGCTGTGAATGAAGGTCTGTCTGTCTCCTCTAAACAGTCGAGGTTTTATTCTTGGATGGAGCCAGATAATCAGAGAGTTATGTTGTGTTATTTTAACTCCTCATAGAATCCCGTCTGATGAAGCACGCTTTGGCTAATACCACCAGGGACTTGGAAGACCTGCATGTGACCCTCAGCATCGCATGGCTCAATGATCCCCAAGTGGGGGAAGCTCAGGAACCCAGGTTTAAATGGAGGGACAGCCACAAATGTCTTTTCTGAAAATTTACAAGAGAGATTTTTCCAGGTAAACTGTGTTTCATCTGAGCAACTCTTTTGTTTTTACTTTATAGTTCCTATAAGTCTGTCTTCATTAAATGTTTAACTTGTGTTTGGCACATAATATGTGTTTAACAAATATCCATGGACTGAATGGGACCCCATGCTCTGACCACACTGGCTAAGAGGTTCCTGAGAGAATCAACTGCTACAGGCAGATCTGACGGCTTTGAGCTCTGACTCCAACCTTCACTTTGTTTTCTGGGGTTAATTTTATCTTTATTCATTTATTTATTCACTCCACCCTTATACCACTTACAGCCTTTCCTGGAAAAGCAAGCTGGGATAAAAATGTTTAAGATCTGACTGCAAAATTCCACAGCTAATGATGACACTGTTGCCTTAGCTAAAATGATCTTAAACTCGTCTGCTTGCTATTTCTTTTCTGCCATTCTCTCAAAATAATCAGTGAAATGTTTTTAAAAAATTCTACTCTCAAAATGTGTTATCAATTTATTTTGACCCGATATTGAACTGGTTGCTCTTCAAAAGCCGGGATGCCCCAGT